ATATTGATTCTACATTTACAAAACTTGATCTTAATAAAAATGTTAAACCTCTTACGGAAACAACAACATATACGCTAGGTCATGATTTAGATGATCAGCGATCAGTAGAAACTGATAGAAAACAACAATCTTTAGTACGACAACAATTAGATTCAATAGAAAAATTCGATGGACTCGGTAATCCAAAAATTTGGTTAAAATATATTATAGAAAAATTTGATTTATTACAATTTACATCTCTTGAACGTAACGAATTAATTTCAGAAATTCTGACTGGTGAAGCACTTATTTGGTATGTTGAACAACAAGATCATATGCCAACCTTTATTACATTTATGAAGAAATTTTTACAACATTTCGATAATCAAGAGTTAAAGACAGATTTTTCAAGAGAATTTGTTTCGTCAGCTATGCCATCGAAGCCATTAGAAGCTGATAGTTGTCAAGATACTGTTACGAATTGTTTACGAAACCAATTATTAATTACGAACCTCGAAAAATTACAAAAATATTCTGGCAAATTGCAACAAAATGTATCAAACTGGTTACGAGAAATTCAACAAGCAATGAACATGTTTAAGTTAACCGATGATGAAAAACTTTTTTATGTATCTTTATGTTTAGAAGCAGATGCACGGGATTGGTTTTATGATAATCCTCATTTATGTTCAACGTGGTCCATATTTACACAAAATTTATTAAAAACATTTGAATCTTCAGGAAAAGGTGGTATTGCATTTAATCGTTTACGACATTATGAGCAAGGTATTAATCAGGATGTACGCCACTATTATTTTGAAGTTATGAAATTATGTAAAGAAGCTAATCCAATTATGGACGATGTTAGTAAATTACAATATTTAAAAGATGGTTTAAAACCTTCATTACGTTTTGATGTACTATTAAAAAATCCAAAAAATCCAGAAGAATTTTTAGAATATGCTCAAATGATTGAAGAATTGAAATCATTAGATGATAAACAAGATGTACTAACATATTTGGATAAACAAAAGTTCACAAAACCACCAACAATTAATTCAAATAACATAAATAACAAGCCGCAACAAATTAATCAACCATCTATACCTCGGCAACCAAATCACAATAACGTCTATTACAAACCAAATTATCACAACACTAATCCAAAACGAATATTCAACCATACAACACCAAATCAAGTTCCATATAATAATACAGTACCTAAACCACCATATCAATGTTACAAGTGTGGTGCAAATGATCATTATATTCATAATTGCCCACATTTTCAATAGAGGAATCGCCGCAAGGTGGTGGCGATTCCTGCAACTCTATACAAAATCCATCACCAATTTTTATTAATGCAAAAATCAATCAAATTTATATGAGAATTATGTTCGATTCGGGATCAACAAAATCTTTCATTAATCAAATAGCATTAAAACGTACACAACATTTACCAATTCATTTTAATCAACAGCATTATGTTATGGCAGATGGTCATACACCATTTGAAGTTATTGGTACAGTAAGAATTTTTATTGAAATAAATTATATAAAAACTAACATACTAGTTGGTGTTGTTAACTCTTTATGTACAGATTGTATTCTAGGTATGGACTATATTAACAAATATAAAGTTAATCTTAATAATAAACAAAAACAAGTTCAAGTTTATACAGCCTCACAAAAAATTACAATACCAATGGAAGATCAATCTGAAAAAATTCGAATTATTTGTCGTACGAAAAAATCTGAATATTTACATCCATATGAAGAAAAACAATTAAAAATTATTTCACAAGTATCTTTTGGGCAATTATTATTTTCTCCTGCTTATCATATTACTCACATACGAGGTTTAATTATACCACATTCGTTAATTTCTATAAAAAATCACACAGCTTTTATTTCTGTTTATAATCCAACAGCTAAGCCTTGTTATTTAAATAAAAATATTATTATAGGTATTGTTACACCTTTATCATCTAATAATGTTTCTACTGTTTTTGATCCACATACAAACAATAACTTTGATGATGATAAACCCAATTCATTAAATCCACTTGGTCAACAACATATTGATTCCTTAATTACACATATAAAACATCAACAACAATTGACTGAATTAAAGGCTGTTTTAGAAAAGCATTCATCTTTATTTGATACATCCAAAACAACTATTGCTGAAACATCAACACCTCATGTTATTTGTACTGGTAATAATCCACCAACAACATCTCGACCGTATCCACAAACTATTGATAAACAAAATGCAACCTTTGATATTCTTCAACAAATGTTAAAACATAAACAAATTCGTGAGTCACATTCTCAATACTCAGCACCTGTTCTATTAATTAAAAAACGTGATGGCTCATATCGATTTATTGTTGATTACCGTAAATTAAATAGTATAACTATTCAAGATAATTATCCATTGCCTAATCTTGAACAAGCTATACAAATGGTTGGTGGCCATCAATATTATACAAAATTAGATCTTCGTTCAGGGTATTTTCAAATACCTATTCGTGAAGAAGATAAACACAAGACGGCTTTTATTACTGTTCATGGACTTTACGAATTCAACGTTTTAGCACAAGGTTTAAAAAACAGTCCACCATCTTTTCAACGAATCATGTCCAATTTATTATTACCATGCAAAAAATTTTGTTTAGTTTATTTGGATGATATATTAATTTATTCTGATTCATTTATACAACACATAGACCATTTAAATCAAGTATTAGCCATTCTCAACAAGCATAAATTTCAACTCAATCCACAAAAATGTGAATTTGTAAAAACAAACATTGATTATTTAGGTCATACAATTAGCATTCAAGGTATTAAACCATTACAAGAACGTATTGAAAAAATTTTAGCTATTCCACAACCAACAACATTACATCAAGCAAATGCTTTTATAGGTGCCATTGGGTGGTATCGTAAATTTATTAAAGATTATGCAAAATTAGCTGCACCAATCTTAGCTGTTACAAATTTAACTAAACAAAATAAATATAAATTTAAATGGGACATACCGCAAAAAGAAGCTTTTACTCAATTAAAAACAGCTATTACATCTGAACCATTATTTTTAACATATCCTGATCCAAATACACCTCTCATGTTAGCAACTGATGCATCAGATTATTGCATTGGTGGTGTTCTATATCAAGAAATTAATGATGAAAGAAAAAATATTTATTTTTATTCTCAAATGTTACCAAAATTACAGCGAAAATGGCCAACAATTGAAAAAGAAGCATTGGCTATCTATTATTGTGTTACACGTATGAAATTATATTTACAAGGTCGTGAATTTATTGTTCAAACGGATCATTGTCCCTTACGTGATATGCATTTAAAACCATCAAATAATCGTCGTGTTGATCGTATATCATTAGTATTACAACAATACAATATTAAAGAAATTCGTCATGTATCAGGTAAATGTAATTGTATTGCTGATTATTTAACTAGGTATCCTCGCCAAACGGAAGATGATGATGATTTTCTTGAACCTGATTTTGGTATTATACCCGCAATAGAAAATGAAAAAAATAAACCACAATTAAACAACAACAATTTAATTATTCCAAATCTTATTAGTGCTGTCACCACTCGTGCTCAAGCAAAAGCACAAACTAATCCACAAAAATTAATTGATACTAATCCTACTTCTGTAACAACATCATCAACAGATGATCAATCGCAGAAAGTGGTTGGTCATGCGTTTGATGTGTCTATTATTGCCAAAGCCCAAAAAGATGATAAACTATATCGGGAAAAATTGTTAGAAATAAATAAAAAGCAAACCAATTGTTCATATGTATTAGAAAATGACATGTTGTATAAAATAATTAATCGTGGTATTTTTCAACAAAAATTAATTTATGTTCCATCAGCAATGGTTCCACAATTATTAAAAGCTTATCATGATAGTCCTTGGGCTGGACATTTTGGTTATCGTCGAACATATTTAAAAGTAAAAGATAAATATTGGTGGCCAAATATGAAACTTACAATACATAATTACATTCAAACATGCATGTTATGTCAAAAATTTAACATTAATCGTAAAAAATCTGCTGGTTTATTACATCCTATTGAACCCCCTCACGGTCCTTTTCAATTACTCGGAATCGATTTTTCAGGTCCATTTCCCACGACGCCTCAAGAAAATAAATATGTCTTAGCTGTTACTGATTATTTTACTAAATGGGTTATAGCAGTTCCTTTATCAAATCAAACTGCTCAAACAACTGCTGAAGCTTTATATGAACATTACATATGTATTTATGGTGTACCAAATACAATTTTGTCGGATCAAGGGCCTCATTTCAACAATCAATTAATAACCGCATTTACACAAATATTAGGTTGTCATCATATTAAATCAACTCCTTATCACCCTCAAACAAATGGTGCAATTGAACGATTTAATTCAACCTTTGAACGACAATTATCAAAATTAACAAATAAACATATTAATGATTGGGATTTACATTTAAAATCTATTGTTTTCGCTTACAATACTGGCCAACATGCAACAACAAAATATTCGCCATATCAGTTACAATTCGGACGTCAACCTAAGTTACCACCAGATCAACCAACAACAACTTATCAATTTTCAAAACCGAATGATTATTTTCGTCATCTCCAAAAAACATTACAATTGTATCATCAACATGCAACAAATAATATAATTAAAGGTCAACAAAGTTATAAACAGTATTATGACCGTAATCGTCCTAATTTAGTTTATTATGTTGGTGATCAAGTACTTAAACAACTTACCACTCAACACACTAAACTAGGTGAACTTTATTCTGATCCTATGATCGTGGTTAAAAGTAAACATCCAACTTATTGGATACAAGATCCGAAAAATCATCAAACACATCAAGTACACGTTTCTCAATTACGAACGTGCCGTCTTCATCATTTGTGAGTATTAAATATTTTTATAATTACGCGTAGGTTTACATATATACCAATATTCACTTATATATATATGTAACTATATATGAAATATGTATATCAAAAAAAAAAAAAAAAAAAAAAAATGTATATATATATATATAAATAAAAACATATGTCTATAAATATATATGATAATAAATTAATATGTAAACATCAAATAATACAACCAAACAACTTATCATGATAAAACAAAAACATGATAAAACAAAAATATGATAAAATAAAATATTATGTTACGTTCAACTAACACTATCAACTATATTACAATAACATGTATTTATATATGCCCAAGTTATTATTACATATTTATATCAACATATAATTAATTATTTTATTTATAAAATATTTCATATATTTATTTAAATCGTTGATATATGTATACATATATGCATCCACATTTATCATACATACAAATTATATTGACATATTAAGTTATATGAATGACACTTGACCAATGAATTATATTGTTTTACGCACTACATCTCATGTTACGTCATCTATTATTTTATTTATTTATCGTCTATAAGTATAACATGTCCACTTAGTCATTTGTCCATTGATTTGTCCACTTATCAAGAGATTATCACGTTCTGTTATTGTTGTTTATTTACTTATGTGACTTCTATTTACACTTTACACATTTAACCTCTGGTTTTGGTTGTTATTATTTTTTTCTTTCTCTTATATTTAGTCTGTTCACTTTCATGTTTATTAATGTGATTATTTCTCATTATAGATCATCAACTCTGCAGACGTGATCACTAGTCCTGTTTTTAATTGTTTCATATCCATTTTTTTTTTCTCCTTCTCTCTTTTATTTGTTGTACTTAATCATCTTTCTATGTTTTTCCATTTTGGTTCTGTTTATTATTTTGTTTATTTACTTATATGTTTAGTCATTTGATTTGGTGCTATCCACTTATTGTTTACAATTGGTTTAATTCATTTAGTTCGTATTGGTTATTTATTTATGATATCTCTATTACTGTGAACAAGTTTCACGTGTTTATTTAAATTATCTGGTATAATGCCAACAAAAAAATCATTAAAAAATCGTCGTCGTTTTGAACATAAAAATGAAAAAGAATTAACATATGAAGAATTATTTCCACCTTATGAACCACTTTACAAATATTGCATTTATTTTATCAACGAAGTCACATCGGAAGAAGAAATTAATTATTTGATTACTATTGCTCAAACTACAACACATTTTGTCATTGATACAGAATGTAATTGCACATCAAAAACACCAGCTCTTATACAAATTTATTTTGTTACATCACTTGATATAGCATCTCCATTGCTATTAGTCGAAATTGATTTTCTTCCTCATTATTCATCATCATTATTTTTAAAATTTAAAGAATTATTTGATTATATATTTAGTCTTCGATCAATTTTATATTCGTGGGGATTTATATCTGATGAATTAAATCGTTTTTTACCATGCAAACTTTTTTCATTACCTATACGAACAACGAATTACAATACTCAAGGTCACTTCAAATCTTGGTTTAATCAATGGATTAAAAAAATATTATTCATCGTCACCTGACAATATCAACGAAGATGTTAATGATATAGTGATCATTAATGCACCTGCATATGATCCTACGTTAATCTTACCGACACAATTGATGAACGACAAAAAGTTTTCTTCCGGTGAAACGTGGAGTTTACAAGATGCAGTAGTTTACACGTTTGGACAATATTTATCTAAACGTGAAACTTTACGACGATGGTCCATTGGCTTAGATGTTAAATTACCTACACGTGATACATCATTTTCTTCAAATTATCGCAAAAAATTGATTAACTATGCCTGTCTCGATTGTGTTAGTGTAGCACATATACATTTAATTATGCAACAATCAAAAATTCCACTCGACACCAATTATATACACCAAGAACCACAAACTTCAGGCGAGTATATTTTGTCGAATAATTTAACCGTTTTGTCAGATATGTTTCAGCTTAGTGACGACAGTTCATCTTCTTCGGAAGAATACCATACCGAGTTGGTGGCCGTTCATGTTCCAAATGAACGTCATCAATCTCCATCTCACATTATTCAAATGGATTATCAACAAGAAACAGAAGCACCTGCACTTGTTCCACCAACTGTACCTCGTTCTCATAAACGATCATCAATTGCCAAGAAAAAGCGAAATCAAAAAACTAGTCGTCGCCACCGAGCAAATCGCTACAATTACGAAATAATACGTCCAGCAAACATGAAGATTACATCAATTAAAAAATTACTACGGGAAAATCATATTAAATATACTAATATCCATGTGGTTCATTCAGTACTTTATATTGGTGTCAAGTCTGATGGTCATAAACGTTTATATGAACAGTTATTGCCCTCTCATATGTTTGTCTGATATTTTTTCTTTTGTCTTTTTTTTCTATTTTT